TGATAACAGTTATCTCACCTACCTCATACTAAACATCCTTTAATTGCCTACTGGCTGTTTGCTTCTATTGAAGGAAGCAAGATGGGAAGCAACTTCCGCAGGTTTGGAACTTCCATCTCCATGGTTCTCTATTAATGATTAAAGATGTTTGTTAGCCTACTTTAAATTCCAGAAATATCTGAGCATAAGCTATAAGCTTCTCACTATGGTTTGATTTGTTTTAAGTGCCTAACTCACTCTGCTTATGTTCTTCAGTGGATTTTTGAAAAAGTCAAATGAAAGTTGCAGACTTATTACTACTACGGTGTTAGGAGTTGTCCTTGGATACTTTCTTGGAAATTTCCTTCCAGCATTAACCAGCTCCCAGGTATGTCTGACTAAATTCCCTTCATTCTTTAGCTTTTGTAGGTCAGGCAACCAAAAATTTTCAGCTAATCTGAAGTAAAACTGTTGAAATTTTGCAGCTTACTGTACTTCCCAGACTTTCTACCTTTGAGACCTCATTCATTGAAAACAGTAGATCTCTTGGGAATAGCCTTTCTTTAGCATCGAAACATGGTTTGAACAGATCTAGACCTTCCAAGAGTCACCGGTCAAGTGATCCCTTGAAGGTACTTGTTTCTCTTCTTTTCTTTTCTGTTCTTTTCTTTTTATCGTTCCAGTTGATAGTAAGACTCCATGAATGAGTACATATATATATGAGAATTATATTTTCAAGGCTAACGATAAAGGTTTAATTGAATTCAGATGTTTCCTTTAAAAATCTTAAAAAACTGACAAGATATCTCTGCCCTCATTGTCAAGGCCTTACTGTTTTTTTCCGAGCTTTATAACATGTGATCATTGTATTCCATCTATCCCTTGGCTTTTTCTGTTTATGAAATATTCACCCAAGTCTTCAGTATTATATTATGTTTGAGTCTTATCTATTTTCAGTTGAAATGGATAACACTAAACATTTTCCGTGAACTGATGCATTGCTTTCTTTGGTGAATTTTCCTTGTTTTCTTTGGTGAATTACTCACATGTTTGTTTTCTGCCTCCTAAATGGTAAATGGGTATACAGAACTTCCTGCTTAAGTAACATGGTACGCTAAGGTTTTGAGTGCAGCTTAGTTGATATTTATCTACAGTGGACTGAATTTTGTTGGGTACTAAAGGATTTATTATATTGCTTTCTACATATGTTCATGAGTAATCCAATTATAAAATCTCACCAAGGTGCATCTCTTCTTGTGAAGGTGCTTGTTTATTTGCTGCTTCCTCTTACCTCGATATTGTAAATTTTAATTTATGTGTATGTGAAATAGCTTTGCACCTTCCAGATAAACTATCTCACCCTTTGCCTCTTATTTCTCCTCTTAAAAAAAGAACTTGCGCCATTTTTTCACTAGTGTCATTAATATCAATGAAACTGAAGTAACAAAAATTGACACTTCATCAATCTATCACAAGTTAAGTTGGTTTGAAACGTGATACCAACTCATAATACTTCTCCAACGGAATATTTATGATTATGACACACATATATTCATAGAAATTGCAAATATAGAGGGCTAGATATGAGAACAGATGCGTTTGGATGCACATGCATGCAAGAATCCCATATAAATTTTCCCCTTTTGGATAATAGAGTTGCATAGTTTCATTTATCAGATGTATGTAACTTTCCCAGTTAGTCTTAATCATGCATTTCTTTTTCCTGCTTGTACAGATTTATGTAGAAACAAATCCTCGTGGTGCAGAGCTGTTACCTCCAGGGATTATCGTTTCTGAATCTGATTTCTATCTGCGTAGATTGTGGGGTGACCCTGAACAGGTATTTCCTTTAGTGGCTTAAATATTAGCTATAACTTGTAGCTTAGCGAGTATAAGAAGACTGCTTGTTGATAAGTTGCAACTTTGATATAGCTGCTATTGAGAAGGCTGAACATATGCCATAAAACCCTAGGAATCTAGACTACTTATTCAGAAAGTTTAAGCTCTTAGGGATGAAATTGCCTCTGAGCAGCTTAGGTGGGTAGCTGTTTTTCTTTTCAAGCCACAATATGTTCAAATTGTTCTTCCCCCTCCTTTTACAGACTTCTTTATCTCATGCCACTGGATGCACAATATACTTATAGTTCTTCAATTTGCAAACAATATTAATGGTAATGCTTTCTTTTTATATTACTGCAGGACCTGAAAGCGAAGCCAAAGTACCTGGTTACATTCACTGTTGGATTTGATCAATGGAAAAATATTGAAGCTGCAATTAAAAAGGCAACTGGACTGGATTATGAATTTCGAACATCTTTTTGAGTTTTCTTTGCATAAATTATTGATGACCTGCACCTTCTTGTAGTTTTCGAAGGATTTCACCATTGTGCTCTTCCACTATGATGGCCGGACTAGTGAATGGGATCAGTTTGAGTGGTCCAAGCATGCAATTCATGTCAGTGTGAGGAAGCAAACAAAATGGTAAATCATCATAGGGTTTTCCATCTGTCCTTTCATTTTCTTTTATTTCTTGATTCTGTATTTTACTTTTTTTTATTCAGTCAGACATTTTATGAGCACCCTTTCATATTTCATGCAGAAGTTTGTGTTTTGCACTATTTCCCATTCTTGTAATTTTTTGTCACTTTTAAACTTCCATAGGTGGTACGCAAAGCGGTTTTTACATCCGGATGTTGTAGCAGCTTATGATTACATATTTATATGGGATGAAGATCTTGGATTAGAACACTTCAATGCAGCAAAGTACTGTATTATACTACTTTTTGCGAGCAATGTCTTTCAGACAATTCTTTCTTTTATTTGGATAACTTTGTCTTGCTCTCACGAAAAAAATTAATATCAGGTACCTTAAATTAGTAAAGAAACATGGTCTAGAGATATCACAACCTGGTCTAGAGCCAGACAAAGAGTTAACATGGGAGATGACCCAAAGGAGAGGCAACAGTGAAGTTCACAAGTAGGATTACTATATGATTCTAGTATTTTACTGTTTGTTTTGTTTTTCTGTAAAATATGTAAGTTTCTGTTGAAATACTGGCTTTAAGACCTGAGGAATGCTTGTGTTTATAAATTTCAGGGTGACATTAGAAAAACCAGGCTGGTGTACTGACCCACATTTGCCTCCGTGTGCAGCGTAAGTTTTCTATCCTTCATCCTTTCATCAAATAGTTGCACTTTTTTAGAATCTTAGTTCACTTTATCATATCTAAAGTTTATTTGGTTAATATCCATTCATACTCCTTCATAATGAAATAACAATTTTTTTGTTTTTTCAGTTTTGTGGAGATTATGGCTCCAGTATTTTCAAAGAGTGCTTGGCGTTGTGCTTGGCATATGATACAGGTATTTGATGTTTCACAGCTTCATTTGTTTGTTTTCTGCGTGCATTGACAGATGTATGTTTGCTTTGCTCTTGCAGAATGATTTGGTTCATGGATGGGGACTGGACTTTGCATTGCGAAGATGTGTGATGGTAATTCATATTCATTCCCTTCTTAATAAGGGTCGATACTATTTATTTGAGATTGTTTTTATCAATCTTTTGACTGCATGTTCACTTGTGCAGCCCGCTCATGAGAAAATTGGTGTCGTTGACTCACAATGGATTGTTCATCAAGCTGTGCCTTCTCTTGGGAACCAAGTATGTGCTGTGTTATCATTTCTTTTGTAGTTTAGGTTTTCTTTTAATTTACAAAGCAAGTGACTTGGTTTCTAGGAGACTTCGCACAGCCCCCCTGTACACCAAATATGTGTTGCACTAACATCTGTTGATTCTGTTCTCATTTTTGGCTTTAAAGTTTTCTTTAATCAAAACCAAATGGGTTTAAGAAGAGAAGCACGAGGGCTAAAGCCTTCTAATGAAACGCCATCTAGAGAAGGAGATAAGCCAGATCTTCATACAAGAAACTTGCATCATGATTTAAATTAATGTGCTCTCTTGGACAAGAATGGAAGGTTATATTATATTGCTAGACAGCATCTTTTTACCCATAAAATGTTAGTGTGTGAGCTCTAGCTTATGCACTTGGGAAAATTAGGACACAGATGAAAAATGCAATAATAAGCATGCATGAGGCATGTAAGTAAGAGGAAAAATTTGTTTCTTCTGATTCTTTCTGCTTACATAACGATGATATTATATATTTTTTATGTCCTCTGGTAGATTTTTAATGGAGAGTGTCCACTTAGCAAACCTGATTGCAAAACGTTCAGTCAATATAGAAGAAATTGCAGTTATAGTGGCTAGCGAAATGTACGGTCTTTATAGTATTGAGGTTAGCTCTTGTCAATGATAACACATGAGATATGTCCATACATCCTTGGGTTTGACATGCAAGTTAAATTGGAAAAGAAACTCCAGATGATTTTGTATCAAAAATTTAATTCTTGCATGATCGCTAGCCTACTAAAGTTACCTTGCTCTTAATGAACTAAAATACAACTAGGAGTACCTGGTCCTCCTTTTACCTCTAGTAAATTTTTTCATATGGCAAATTAGGTTCTCTTCAGTTATGATTATAGGAGATTTATGTCTCAAAAGTTTCAATCATATGTTTGGCTGACAGTTTCCTTTTTTTTCATTCCATGATATCTTTGCAAATTATACTATATCACACACGCGCATGCGCATACAAACACATAATATAGAAATTGGTTCCTGTGTTCATGATTAATATCTCTTCAGTACTTTCTTTCAGCTAAGAATAATGTACTGAACGGACTGTAATGTTCTTAGATACTGCTTTATTTGGCAACTAGTTATTTGAGTGTAAAATCTTCCTTAGATTTTATTGTAATACATTTTAACGTTTCGTTCATTCTTTTGCAGGGAATATCTGAGGATGGTAAAGCACCATGGCAAATGGTATTCATCCAACTTTCACTATACACCTTTTATTAGAGTTTTCCTAATACAGTATGAGTTACGTTTCTTTAAAGAAAAATAAACTCCACAGCTCTGACTGATATGTTAATTGCTTAATATCAAATATCAATAATAACATCTATGGTGCAGTTTTGGCAACTGAACTTCTCTTGTCGATTTCTTTTCACCCAATAAAATTATAAATGGCTAATTGCCTTGATCCTCTTTCTACTTTATGTCAATTTTCAAATCTTCTTAGCTCTACGAAAGTAATCACCAAAACTTCTGTGTCTTTTACGAGTTAACTTCCATTAGTCTAATTTGTAATTATCATCTATTTAATTGATGGAAATAGTTGTCCAATTTAGCCATGGTTTGGTAGGAGGGAAGGTGGGATGAGGTAAGGGACAATAAACGAATTTGCATTTGGTAGGGAGTTTTTGGAGGGGAGTTAAGCTAGAGTAGGGGAAAGGAGGTGAGGACACTAGTGTAGAGAACTACAAAAGAATGTTCGCCCTCTCTCCTCCCCTCCAACTAAACCTGAACGCTTAAAGGGATGTACATCTCTCCACCTCCTTGCACCTCTCCTCACCAATAGCCTTTTCCTAGGACGCCGAAATGCAGCCATCATAATATACATCAATCATATAGGATAAATAACGGAGAAGATAGAAGCAACGGTTGAGGAGGAGGATGTGAATGAGAGGCTGAGAATTTGGTGGGTTTGGGGAGAGGAGATGATGGTTCTTATGTTTGATATATGATAGAGGCATAGAGCTTCTTATACACACACATATATATATACACACACGCACACACACACACTTGATGACCCCCTGACGGCTCACAAGTTGTAGGCCCTTGTACGTGCTTCTAAATGATGATATAACATAGGATGGATATTATATCTAATCATAGGGTGACCGTATGATGATATCTAACATTCCCTTCCCTCATACTCATGTTGGATCAAATGCCAAGACTTTGGATATGAAAAACCGGAACTGACAAATTGATTTTGCCTTGGTAAACTAATTTGTCACTTATTTATCGAAAGGAGTTGAAAGTACCCTAGAGGGGGAGGGGGTGAATACGGTATTTGCTAGTCTAATCCGATATTAATGTCAAATTAAAACTTATTAATGAAATTATCCTTAACAATATGATATGCACAATAATATAAGCAAGGATAAGCAAATATGAAGCGATAGGCGATATAAACAATGAGATAATAAAAATACGCCAATGCCAAACTTAAACACAAGAATATGTTCACGGAGTTCGGTCAACCCACGATCTACATCTCCTCTCCTCACCCTCGAGGAGAATCTCCACTATCTCAAATAAATCAACTACACAATCGGTTTTCCAAGTTCACCAAAAATTTTTACAACTCACACAATTGTCAATACATAATACACTTCTCTAAGTGTTGGCCTAGTCCGTGTTACCTTCCTCAAGTGCTCGAAATTACAACCTCTCCCAAGGATTTACTACCGACGCCACTCCTCTTGGAATTGACCCCGTCTCTCACCAACTACTTCTCGAAGTGTCCTTGTGTATAACAACGTGTTCTCACAATGATAAGCTCAAGTAAAGATTTTGTTCTCTACAATAAATGAGAACGAATTGAAGCTCACACTCAATAAATCACTCACAACCCAAAAAATACAATATGTGAAATATTAAAGCTCAAAGGGTGTGTGTGTAAATAATGAGTAATAAGAATAATTAAACTCAATTCAATCTAGCATAAATAAATGAGAATCAAAATGATAAGATAAGCTAGAAGAAAGGAGTTTAGAAAAATTTCTCCAATGATGAACAAGAGATGTAGAGCTTGAGGTTGAATTCCTCAAAATAAAATTTCGATCCTTCTCTTGTGAAACTTTCTTCACATAAAACACTCTCAAACTCTTAAAAACTCAGAGAAAATAACCTAAAACTTGTGTGAAAAACCTTAAAAAAGGCCAAGGCAAAAGGGGTATATATAGCCCCAAAAATCACACCTTCCAAAAACTAGCCGTTGGCTGAAAAATGCCTGTCAGTCGACTGATGGCGTCATCGGTCGACGGATAAGGTGATCGTTGACAGATTTGGCAGTTTCTTAAATTTTACGTAGCTGGCTTTCTAAAATCAATTAAAAATAGCAAATCAACTCCAAAAATCATAACATTTTGTAGAATATTTTTAAACATGATGATAAACATGTTAGAGAAATAATTTCTTAAATATCACTTCCTATTTGTGAGAAATTACTGTTTTAACACAGATATTCTAGATTCTGAAAACTGCTGAAAACACTTAATTTGTAAAATCAATTTAACATAGTAAATCAATTCCAAAAATGATAAAACTTTGGAAAATATTTATAAACATGAAATAGAACATGTTACAAAAAGAATTTCTCAAATTACATTTCCTATTTGTGAAAAATTCATTTATTTCGTGAAGTGTTCAATAATACGAAATCGTCAAAACTTGATTTTGATGAAACGATTTCAAACAAGCTTGAAAATTCTTTTGAATGGATTTATAGACTTATGAAAAGAAGTAATATAGTATCACTAAGTCAATAATCCACAAACACGTTATTTTCTTAAAACAATAAACACGTTATTTCTCAAAACGACGTATAATGCGATAAATATGAAACATATGTACATGAATACGAATATATGTATTTATTGTAGGGTCCGCTTTTTGCTTATGTATACTAAGTGTAGGATTGTGACTCTTAAGAATAGAGTGCGCTCTTATAAAAATCTGCGGAAGCTTTACACTTAAACACTAGAGGGTGAGTTTGCAAAGTAGATTATAAATTACAAAGAAAGAATAACAATCTCAGAAAATGAACATCACAAACACAAGCATGTATACTGGTTCCACCTCCCTGGTGTACATCCAGTCCCCAAGCAAATTCCGCTTGAGAGTTTTCACTATGATTTTGAAACCTTACAAAATCAAAAGCAAACCTGACCAATTTGTAAGACCATGTAAATTGCAAACCCAATTGATAAGACCATGCCAATTGCCACCCAATCTCTAAACCAAGAGATCAACCCTCTCAAACCCGAGAGAAAACCTTTTTGAAGCAAGAACACAATTGATCCTATAAGCCTTGAATGTGTAGTGAAATGCAGCAGTGGCTTAGGATTCTTTTAACTCTCTGAATATTGTCATTACTATCTTTAAGAATGATTGAAACCAAGGCAATATCAGAAACTCTCTTTTTCTAAATACTTAGCCTGAAAATCTGGAAAACTAGAGAGTGAATATGCACAAATGTTTGATCTTATGTGTATGAATTAGTTGTGCAAATTTTTGAACTTATAACCTATTTATAGTCCTTAAAAAGGTAAGTTTTTAACCCCTAAAAACGTACACAAAACGGCTATAAACAATCACTTATTCAAAACCTGAAATCTGGAAAAATTACATCTGTAGTCGACTACAAGTCATAGTAGTCGACTACACTGAGTCTAAACAGACTCTGTGAAGTCAGAAAATTGCTTAGTAGTCGACTACAAGGCATAGTAGTCGACTACACTGTAAACTCAGATTCTGGAATTTTCTTTTTAATATTTTGACTGTAACTTTCTCATCCGATATCGGAATGAGTTGATTTAAGATTTGTTGGAAAGCTCTTGAAGAGACCTACAACTTTAATTTTTTGAGTTTTTCCAGATTCTAATTGTTAAGGGGTATAAATAAAATGTTTTAAGACTCACTCAATATCTATAAACTCTAATGGCTAGCATAGAGGATTTTTATTGTTAACCAACATACTAAACATGTGTTAGTATGTTCTAACACTATGTGTGTGCATGTGTGTGAGTGATCAAGGCTTGTATAAATTTCTAAGCAGAGAAAATATAAAATTACATTTTGATAATAAAGTATATCTTCTTCTTTGCTTCATTTTGCCTTGAACTCATCTATGTCTTGAGTATCTATTTGAATATAATTGTTGATATAGCTCTGATACTGCAAAACAAATGTTAGCACATAATACACATAACATATAATATTTGTTATCATCAAAATAAACTAATCTTGGGGTCAAGATTCCTAACATTCTCCTCTTTTTGATGATGACAAATATATGTTATTAAGATATAAAAATTTTAATCCCCCTGCATAAAATCATTAAATAAAATCTTTTACTCCCCCTGCATCAAAGCATTAGTAAAAAATTTAAAATTTTCTATATAACTCCTCATTTGTCATTAACAAAAAGAAATAAACATAATTCTAGTTAAATTTTTATTTTTCCGGGTACCTTAATAAAAATATTAAGCACTTTGGTACCCTTTTATATTATATCATTAGGATTAGCCCTTAGAAATCCAAATCCACTTAGAATTTGGTTTCCATTTATTAACATAAGTGTAATTCTTTGAATTGTAAACTTCATACATATAAGATGAAATATAATAATTCCTATCATGAATATTCAAATTCTTAGGTTTTCATATATACTTATTTTGTTTAGCATGAATATTCTTATTATTATTCTTCAAAACATAATCATTCTTTGTAAAATACTTAAGAACAAATCCAATGCCAAAATGATTGTTTGAAGATTTTTAAAATGAGAGCAAATTATTCAATTCTTTTTACTTTTATTGAATTTACTAACATTCAAACATATATCATCATATTTTAATTTAATAGAAGAAATATCTTTATCTAAAACATAAATACGAATTTTTAAATCATTGCATTCTAATTTTAGATAGACATTCTCATTAGTCAAAATATGATTTTCTTTAAGCAATGATTTATTTTCCTCTTTCAATTCAATTACTTGAGAATTAGAAATAGTAGAAGAATTAAAATTAGAAATTTCTTCAAGTAATCTTTTATTTTCACCTTTAAGAAAATTATGTGAAGCCTTTAATCTCAAAAATGGTTCATATAATTCATTGAAAGTATCTAAAAGCTTTTCATTGTCACTTACTTCATCTTGTGCCATAAAACACATATGAGCGCTTTCA